TATACTTTGTATTGACATGCATTAAAAATATAAGAGGTTTTGTGAGTAAAACAGACAAAAAAAAGTTTTAAATTTTATTTATTATTAATTATTTATCATATTTTATTTTTATGAATTATGTGATTTTACTTTTTTTATTATTTTATTTCTTTCTTGATGAATTTAATTAATTATTATATTAAAAAAAATTAAGACTTTCTTGGTAAAGTTAATAAAATTTTACTTATGTTTAAAATTTATTTTTAAAAAATTATTTATGGATTTATTTTTTCTTTTTAAAATTTGTAAGACTTTATTAATATTTTGGTGGATTCAATAAAATTCTCATTTTTTTAAAAATTATTATTATTTTTAATCTAACTTTTATCATTAGATGTTTAAATAATTAACTTATTCTACATTTTAATATAATTTAAAAACTTGATTTTTAAAAATATAATTTAATAAATTAATATAATAGCAAATAATGTAAGTATGAATTTAATATAATTTAAAGAATTTTTAAAAAATAATTTTTTATTGGATTAATTTGGATTTATTGTAACATGGGTTGGATGGCATCTTGATGAGGCCTAAAGTAGGAGGCCTATTTAGTTTTTCCCCCCTTTTCCTTTTTATTTTTATTTTTCTATGTTTTTTTTTTTTTTTTCCAAAACTATGCATTTTGGATTATACTACATAATTAAATAAAAATAACCCTACTCTTGCTTTTCTTTTGCTTTCCATGTTTCATGAACTTTTAAAAAACTCACCCATACCTATATTTGACCACTTTCAAATAAATCTAATGATATAAAATACGTCATATTAACATTTTATGAACACGATACGAATAAATAATATAATGATGATACAATTTAAAATTTTAATAATTATTATATATAAATTTAATAAAATAAAAAAAATATTTTATATTTTTATATCGACACGAATTATGACACATAATTTTTGTATAAATACAATATGAATTTGAGTATTTTATATAATATAAATATACAAATCATCATATTTACTTTCAAATACTCATTTTTTTTAGATCCCTACTTTAAAATTTTAATAATAACTATATATGAATTTAATAAAACAAAAAAATATTTTTTATTTTTATATCGACATGAATTATAACACATAATTTTTATATAAATACGATATGAATATATGAATTTGAATATTTTATGTGATATAAATACACAAATTATCAGATCTGCTTTCAAATACTCTTTTTTTTTTAAGATCCCTGCTCCTTTTTATTTTGCTTTTGTATTGTTAGTTTTGTTTTATTGTTGAAGTTGGTTATAAAGGCATTTTGCTCCTTTTATTTTGAGAAAATCGAATCTGTTTGGATAATACCAAATAGATTCTATCCTTTTTTTCTTTATTTTTATATTTTTGTTTGATTTTGCTACTTGCAATTTTGATTATATTTTTTATTTTTTTGTCTATTTTTCAAGCTAAAATTTCAACAGGAAGAATATAAAATTTTTTTCTATTGTTGATTTTAGTTATAGTTATAGGTTTGAGACATGAAAAAAATTGGAATTTTAATTAAAAAATTCAGATCTTCTTTTTTGTTATTTTCAAAAAACTTTTTGTATTTAAAACAAATGCTATTAGATGAATAATTTTCGAATAATCCAGTAATATGTGGACTTTTTTAATTGCATTGAATTTGGTCGAGATTAGTGTCATGCTTTAACTGTTAATAATAATTATAGACTGATTTTAACAAATAATTTTTACTATAAGTTTTAAATTATTTTAATTTTATTTATTTCTTATTTTGACTTAGGGGTAAAGCAATCGTTTTATACTTTGATAACTGTCAACAAAACAATCTGAAAATAATTTTAATATATAGTATAGATAGATTCTTTACATTAATTTGAATTAATTAATTATAACCTAAAATAATATGTAAAAAAGGGCTTACAATAGTTATTTTCTTGAATGGTTTTACGAAGAACAAATAAAATTATATTAAAAGGATTAAAAGACATTTTAATGACGGGCATGCACAAAAGAAATAGAAGTGTAGGCTTCGATAGTGTCGCGAAAAATGATTTTTAAAAAAATAATTTTTGTATTTTCAAGTGTTTGTTTGATATAAAATTGATTAGTTAAAGAGAAATGGCTTATTGGTTAATGAAAAATGAAATTATTTTTGAGGAAATTATCTTACGGATTTGAAAATGAGAAGATATTTTTTGCAAAAAATTTGTCTATGAGTAGAATTATTTATTAATATTTTTAAACATAATTTTGCTTATAAATAATATTATATTAATACATAAATAATATTATTATAATACGTTAACAAATAATATTATATGAATAAATAATATACTATTAATGTAATATATTAATAGATAATATTAATAAATAATATTATATTAATTAATAAATAATATTATAATATATTAATAAATAATATAAATAATAATAAATAGTTTTATTTTAAGTATTTTTAATATTAACATAATATTTTAATATTAATGTTATTATTAAAATATAATTATTTTTGTATTACTAATTTTAATAATAAATAATTTTTAATTTTTTAATAATCATATTAATATTATTTTTTTTAAAAAAGATTTTCCAAAAATAATCAAACAACATAAAATATTTTTTATTAATTCATCTAAACAACAAAAAATCTCTTTCAATTTAGAAAATATAAATAATTTTCAAAAATTATTTTTTAAAAATTATTTTTTATGAGTGGTAGGACAAAGATGTACGAGGCTGAGAGACATATACATAAGCACCCCAACTTCGATGCATTAAATGGTAAATATGTGTTGCAATCTAAGGGATAAATTTCTTCTATAGTCCCTGACATTCTATTTTGGTCTCATTTTAATTTTTGAGTTAATCTTTTAAAATATTTCATTTTGATCCTTATAAAACATTTATTCTTTAACATTGGCATATCGAAAGAATAACCACGTAGCATGCAGCGTAATCTACAACATGAATATTTAGTTAGTATTAACAAAATTATTTGACAGAAGGTTCATACATATAGAATAATTTTAAAATTTTAGAAATTTTAACCGAACAATTTAAATACTAGAAACTAATGTGAAACCAAATAAAAAAGTAAGAATCAATGACGAAATTCAATAAGTTTTATCGAATCCAAAATTTAATTAATTCATGTAATTATATTTAATAAATTTAAAATTTTTTATAAAAAAAATATAAATTTGATCAAAGAGTAGCTGGCGAAAGATGCAATTTACGAGGTCATAAATGCTAATGGAATAGCTGAGAGCCGAGAGGGGGGTTGCCGGTATAGATAGAAACCAAATGAGCAAGCAAAACATTTAAAGAGTAAAACAATCAATTGGGGGGAGGGGGGGGGGGGGTTCATGCCCCAACAACAACCTCCAGTGAAGAAGGTGCTGCAAATTTATTATTGTTTGTTGGCTCTGGTAAACCTCTCAAAGCTCCCCTCATTTATTCCCGCCTCCTTCCAAAAATGCATCCCCTTTTTGGCTTAATAAAAGCTCTCACATCTTCAAAATCTTGGTGCTTGCAAATTTCAATAAATTTATCGGTTCATGGATGTAAATTCTTTTATAAAATAGGTCGTAATTTGAAATAAAGTAAAAAATTAAAAAGTTAAGATTTTAATTCAAACTTACAGTTGAATATTATTTCTTAATATTAATTACATGAATTAATTAAATTAAATTTTAAATTATACGTATTGGTGTCAAGCTCCGAAATAAATGTTAAAACCCTGAAATTACAAGAAAAGAAAGAGAGCGATTAAGAGTAAAGACAATAAATATTCTCTATATTTATATTGCAACGTTTAAATCACGACACAAAAGATGTCAGAATAAAAAAAAGCAAGAGTGTATAAGAAAAAAAAAGAATGAAGTGGTAATATTTAAATGTTTCTATTTATAAAAAAAAAGTTATGAATCCATAAAATAAAGAGTTGACCTAATAGAGTTGACATGATATTGTAAGTGTCAGGTTCATCCAAAGATTCAAAATGCTTTTAATTATATGTTGATAATCTGTACTTTCTTTTGATCCTATTTACTTGCAATCAATTAATCCTGATTATATAAGTATGCTCATGAAGTTCAAGGATCATATATTTCATTAAATTAAAAAAAATAAAATTAATTACAAATTTATTATCTTTGTTTTTCTAAAATATCATCCTAACTAGTGTTACTAGACATTAATATATTTTTGTTAAAGCTAGGAACCCTAAAATCGAGTCATGCCAAGAAAAAAGAGCTAAACATAAGTGCATTAATAAAGATGAAGTATGAAAAAAAGATTGATTAATCTTTGAGTAAGTGTGAATTTTAATGGGGTTGATATATATATATATATATATATATGTCACCCTCGATCCATTAAATGTGAGGCACCTACAAATGTCAGACGAAAATGCATGCAAAGTAATTGAAACCCAATTTGTACGTACATAAACCTTCTTGTATGCGCAAATACAGATCCAGCCAGTCTTTTGCTTTCCTCATTTACTGCAAAAATTAAGGGTTGCATCCACCAGCAAACATAAAAATTTGCTGCATTTCTTAGTAGCAAAAGTTGTTCAACCAAATTCATCTACACATACGTTGGTGGACCCGAAATCATGCACTTATAGTACCTCTCGATGTAGTTGATTGTTGGTCAGAATACATACATATATATATATATATAGAACCCTAGGGAAAAATTAGCTTAAATATTATAAATGCATTTTGCTAAAGTGCGAAAATGTTTATCAAATGGAACCTTAATTAGGCCTCATTTAGATTATTTTACTGCGTCGAAAGTGCTACAGTCCTTAATCTTACTGTCATTATGTTATAATCTCATCAAAATCATATTCACCGTTAAACTAAATGCAAAGTTTAGTGATTGTAGACAGTAGTGAGTTAAACTCTTTGTGAATAAATATCATACTCCAGCCATGCATGGTGTGCCACGGTTGTAGAGTTAAAGGACTGAGTAGCTGAGATGAAATGGTTGTCATGAAGTTTGAAAAGGTACAGGAAAAAATAGGTGAATTGCCAGTCTGATATTTATGGTTTAGGCTATAGTACCTTTCGGATTCAGAAAAAGTCTTCAATAAATTGCATCCTAAATGGTATTAATCATTGTTTCAGGTTATCTAATCTCAAAGGTCACCTCAGTTTTTATAAGAGAAACAGTTGATTTCTCTGTTGGCACCATTTCTTGTATATTTGTCATGCAACTGCGTACAGGTAAACGGCTATCAATTTCAAATTCTTACTGGTAATTAATCCACTGAACTGAAGTCATGAAAATTTAAGATCAAGAAAAGAGGGAGTTGGAGGAATTTATGAAGAATTTTCAACAATTTAAATGGTTGGGTTTTGAGGTTGTCATGTTTAGTTCATTTTAAATGTAAGAAGAGAGCAAGATTTGGGAGCATTAAAGTGATTTCTACTTGCCACTTTTAATGCTTGGTCTGTCCTCCTTTTAATGGGGTTTGATGAACCCAATTTAAGAACCCTCTTAAGTATACACACTCTCCTTGCATGACTACTTGTGCAATCCATTTTTCTGTTTGATGATCATCCCAATGTTTTAATTTCTTTCATTGGTTTTCTCTTCTCTTCTTTCCTTGTTCTTACTATCCACTGCAGCAAAGAAGAAGATCAGGATTTGAAGGAGCTATTGCTGGTTTTTTCAAGGATATTATGGAACTTACAGAGCTTTCTTTGGCTTCAAACCAATGTGTTGCTGCTGACAAAAGCTGCAATTTTAGTTCATCATCAGATCATCAGGCTGATAATTTCAACATTCCTTCAAAGAAAAGGAAGTTTTTCCCTGATCACTTGCTCAATGCTGGATCACCATTTCAAACTAGTGTTGATCTTCAAGTTAAAGACCCTCTACCTCTAGACTGGGAACAATGCCTTGATCTTGAAGTAATTTTTCTGATCTCTTTCATTATTAATTCCTGTTACAACTGTTTCAATGGTGAATGATGAGATATTGTTTGTTTTAGACCTTTATTATAATCCTATTTCTCACATGCGCATGCGCGGATATACATATATGTCTGTGTCAATATTATGATCACTTGCGATTTCATACAGGAAAAATAAGAAATTCTTTAGAATAATATGTTTGTTTCTAATAACTCAACTAATGATTTGAAAATCTGGGTTGTTTTGATACTTTTTGCAGTCAGGTAGAATGTACTACATGAACAGGAAAACCTTGAAAAAGACCTGGAACTGGCCTACAGATCAGAAGCTAGACCTTGAACTCAACATCTCACCACATTCCAATGGCTCCGAGCAACACGGCGGTTCTATGTCAGTTGAAGACAAACAACATTCCTCAGGCACTAACATGGTGGCTTTGGCATGCTTGAATTGCCATCTCCTTGTCATTCTCTCCAAATCTTCCCCTGCTTGCCCCAACTGCAAGTATGTCCACTCTCTTCCTACCATACAAGCTCAACCACCAAAAGTTTCAACCGTCAAGTCTCCCGCTACCTTAAGCCTCTTGAACTAATCCAAAATCCATCAATCATGTCAAGGTGGAGGCTTTAAGGCATGGAATTATTAAAATCAAAACCCTTTGACAGAACTGGTAACTTTTAGTATAATGAGTTTCAAGGCTGTACTCAAAAACAGTAAATATAATCTGGGAAATAAGTGATCCTTATCATGTAATTGACTTATATATTCTCATTTTGTTTGGTAAGAAGCATTAAATTTGTAGAATGAAGGGTGTGACCAAATATCCGGGCCTTTCAGCAAGAAAGTAATGAGATTTAGCTACTCAAAATTTGCAAGTACATGGCTTTCAATGACAAATATTGATGTTTCCCCCATTCATTGTCCCCCATTTTGTGGTACAATTTTTAGTTTATGTTTTCACCTTCCCAAATTCATTATTTGATTTATATGATTATCTTCAAGAAATAACATTCAACAGATCCGAAATTCGAATCTCATCATTTATAATTTTTTTTTTAATCCCTGAACAGCAGATTCTCATGTAAAAAAAAATTCCATGAGGTTACTTTGCAATTAATATGTAATGGTATACATAGTTTTATAATGGGATTTTCAGCGTATTTAACCACAAAATTCTGCCTCTGCTTAATGGGGTCACCCTTATGAATATGTTGAGCAGGCTGACATATTAATTAAGGGTTGTTTCAGTTCCCAATGTGCTTGGGATCAGCTATCACTCGTGTGATGAACCCAAGTGCCCCTGAAGTGGAACCAAATGCATCCATATAGCCAGATCTGTAATCATTAAGCCTGTAAGGTTTTCAGGCTGCATTGCATTTAATCGCCAGGACATTTTTCACCTTCTTCTCTTCAGCAATATTCAAACCTACTCCTTTTGTGATCGTAATTGCAATAACTAAATCTGGCGGTGAAATTTTTTATTTTAAGTTACATTTATAATTAAATATTATATTATTGAATAATAAATTAATAAATTATAATTTAATTAAATAATTAAACTCACACACAATTGGATTGAAACTTAAAATTTTATAAAATTATAATTATAATTTATAAATTTTTTTTTCAACCACAGTTTTTTTTAATCATAATGACTAGCATGACATGCTTTTGGAAAGCTGTCTAAGGCATTTTTCTTGATAAAAAAAGAAATTATATTATTATATTAATTATTTAATTATTAAATTAGAATTGCACGCTCACACTAAGTAGGTGAAAAAATGTTTTAAGCATGAAAAAAGAAAAGTTGTGGGTAATTTTTTTATTTGGAAAGTTATTTTTTTAAAAAAATAAAATTATATATATACCCATAATTTTATTAATCTTTTAATAAATACCCTAATTCAGTTGGTATGATTTAATTTATAACACCAAACACTCTGTTAGAGATATTAATAATAATATAAATGAATATATGAAAAGAAATACTTAAATTTACAAGTGAGTTTAAATTTATATATATATATATATATCTAAAATATATTTTAAAAATATTTTTTTTATAATTATTAAATAAAATGATAATCTTCAAATTAAGCATCAAAATTTTATATAAAAAAAAACTTTTAATATATTATTAAAAATATAATGAAATTATTTATTATTTTCTCTACTAATATTAAAGACATTTATCCTTTAAAATACTTCGTACATGTAAATAAAAATAAAGAAAGAGATCCGAGAATAAAAATAACAATACAATTTATTAAGGATATAGTTATAATAAAATAAAAATTTGTAATTTTAATTTTATTATAATAATAAATGATTAAAAGTTTAATTTTATTTTCCAATAAAATTTAAAAACTTATTAAGATAATTTTTTTTTTATCTCTTAATAAGCAGTGATGTTAAAAAATAGAATTAAAAAAAAAAAACTACAGGGTATATATTCACGTATATATACGTAGCTGATTTGCTCACGTTTGTTGTTTGAATGGTCCGTAGGCTCCAACGTCAAATATAAGCGGTTCCAACGAGGAACAAATAGCTGAGAAAAGCTATAACCAGAATTTCACACCTTCCCCATCTCTTCCAATGGAAATCCTCAGTGCGTGAAACAACCTCCAACCACAAATTTCACGTTCTGCTCTGGATTTCCATTGCATCAAAACAATAAACCACAAAGAACACATATTTATGCATTTCATTGTTTTTAAATTTGATTGAAAAAAGGAAAAAAGAATAATAATTCTCGGGAATGTTGGAAAGCTTGAGATTAACGTCGATTGTTCTCGGAGTTTTGAATTTAGTGGTGGTGGTGTTGGGTGGAATTCTGGTAGCCAGTACATACCCAGGATGTGATCGCCACAAGATTTTACCAATCGTCGCGGTTTCAATGTTGGCTGCTGTTAAAATCGGGACGATGATCAAACTAGGAATTGCCCAAGAAGCTACTGCCAAAACCATAACCGATTCTCCTTCTGAAGCTGACGACCTTGACGCTGTTATTCGCCATGACAGACGGGTATATGCAGCCCTACTCTTTACCAATCAATTAACTTTTTTTATGGCTTTTTTCTAATGTATATATTCAAATCTCAAATGGGTCCTTTTTGTTTTTGGATTGAATAGGTGAAATACAAAACATGGCTTGGTTGGAGCCGGTTTGCCATGGTGGTTACAATGTTGCAAATTTTGGGTGCTTTTTATCTTATGTTTAACGTGGCTAGATATGTTTCTCAAGATGCAAATGTTTCAAGTCAGTGTTTTGTAGGTAAGAATGGTGTGGATTTCATTCTTTTATTATACATTTTTATCTTTTTTATATGTTATTATTTGAATTTCTGAGTTAATAAAGCAAAGTAGAGAAGAGGAGATCTCAACAAACGTTAACTGAGTTCATCAAATTTCCAATACTTAAAACTGTTGATCCTATAGTTTGTTGTTTTGTGATTCTTCCATAATCTAATTCAAAGTTTCAGAAATACTCTGTCAAGCTGGTGAGTTAATTTAAGATTGACTGCGCAGGCAGGAATATAAGTATAGTGATAACTTGATAACCTTTGAAAGACTTAATTTTAATCAATATTAAATTTTGAATGAAAAGATTTTCCTTTCCTAGTTTTAGTAGAAACTTGCCCTCATCTTTGGCAATTTTCGTAATGCAGGACTGGCTGCAAGCAGTAGCGCATGGAAGCGAAAAGTTATGCTTTTATTTATGATCACGGCCTGTTGTATTGCAATTATGCAGTGTTTTGCTGGATCTGACATCTTAAAATGGAGGTTTTTTTATGCAACCCAAGATGATGCATGGAAAGCTCACTATCAAGAGGTATTTGATTATGGAATTCGTGAGGCTTTGTGCTGTCTGGGGCGTGTTGAATACTTGTAGGTACCTTTACAATTTGAAATAAAATGGAGATATTATCGTACAAGCCATTGGATTTTTTTTATTAAATTCTTTCGTTTCTTTGTCTAGAACTGTGTTGGAAGACGATGAAGTATATTCAGTAGCAAAATTACTGGGTGATCTTGTTGCTTACCGTGCATCAGGGACTGGTCATTTGGAACTTTTGACAGGTTCGTTTTCATTTTATGGTTTGCATATTATACATCAAATCAAAAAGGCATTTTGCAATTTCTGTTTTCTTGACATATTGATCAATCTCTGTCGTGAATATTCTTGTGAAATATGTGATTTACTAATGAGCTTCTCTGAAAACTCAGGGACAGTACGGAAATTTGTATACGTTAACCTTTGCTAATCTAGAAGCTAGATACTGTGACTGTTATTAAGTCTAGGGGTTTGCACACGTAACTAGATACTTGATATCTGTACAAAGATATGGATCCAGTAATCAGATGCGTCCCACATGTCAAATTCTAAAAAATTGCAATTCTTTTATGTTTCACAATATAATGAATTCTAATCTTGATATGTTGTGACACCAGAAGAGGTTATCCCAACTTCAATTTCTTTTACCAGCATTATTGTTTCTGTTCTTTTTCTGGTCCTCTGTGACATTTTGCAGCTGCTGCTATATTTTTCAAGCATCTATACTTGAAAGACACTAAAATTGGGCATGCTTTATCTAATAAAAGAAGCAACTATTTTCTTATGAATTTTAGCAAGAAGGCTTAAGCAATATCTATTTCTTATATGGAAAATTTTGTTGGGATTATTACTTGATCTGGTTAAATTCTTACATGTATGATTAATAGTATGCCAACCGTCACTATTTTATATGCTTTCTTTCTATGGGAGTCAAAAGGCAAAAAAAAAAAAGGGTTTTTTTTGGGGGGGAGGGGTCTGTAGATCTGTCATTAATACAGTCAGTAGCTACTTTTCCATAGTTTTCTTCCACTATTACACTTATTTGCATGACACCTGAGAAGCATCATCTTTTCAGGTCTAGCATTGTTGCAGAAGCATGGCCAATCCCGTAAATCCCATGAATGTTTTGTTGAGGCACCGGTAGAACATGTGCAAGTGGCTGCAGCTTTTCATAAGTTTGCTGAAGCTGCTTATACGGTATTATGATGGAGCATACCTTTTGATTATACTTTCCATAATTTCCATAGTAAACTTAAGCAAAGATTTACAAATGCAGGGCCCTTTGCTTGATTTTGGAAGAAATCCTTTTGTATTTCCATGTGCGTGGCTCTATAGGCAAGGGATTTTGACCCCGTGGAATCGTAACAGGTTGTTAATATAGAGGCAAATTTCACTTGAGCTGCATGATTATCTATATAGCATGATCACACAATTGTAGTTGTAAAAAGTTCAGGATATAAAACCGATGTTGATGCTCCTTTTGTTTATCAAGTTTTCATTTTGTGCAAATTTACACAATCTTATGCATCACATGCTTATGTTAGATATTTGCATGCAATACTTATTCATATTTAAGGATTTAATTTGTACTGTTAAAATAGTAGCTCTTCTCCCCTCTGTACATGTTAGTAATATCTTCTAGAGTCTGTTTTATGCCTCTTTCTTTATATAAGTTCTTCTTTCATTGTTAGGCGTCCTGCCCTTGATGGTGATAACTGGTGGCGAGGTCATGCAGCAGCATTCTTAAAATTTGTCAATTTACCCCCTGAAGTACTTCGGCGAGGTCGTGTTTGTCAAGTAAGTTTACTTTTATTGTTTTGACTTAATCTACATGTTGTAGCATGAACCAGTTCTGATATGTTTATTATCATATGGCTGTTCTAGGCTCTGAATTAAATAGTTACTAGGATAATAGTTTCCAGAAGGTAGTGTTTTAGTGACCACCTAGGTTTCTTCCTGTTTTGAGTATTTATTGCATTTGGTGATTTAGTTATAGTTAGGATATAAACTAGAAGGCTGCTGAGTAAATTGGTTTTTTTTTTTTTTTTTTAATCTTATCTTTGATGCATGATGTAAATTTTTTCTTCTTTTCTTATGCAATCCTAACCATATAGGATATGCAAGCCTACCCCTCTTCACGATGTTGTGTAACCCTATCCTTACAGGGACAAAGAGAATTGAAAATATTACATTGAATAAAAATTTATCTTATCTGATCCAATTCTATGCTCCAAAGTCCAGATGTGGCTTAGAAGATTGCAAACATGCATAATCTTTCAGTTCTGGTGATTTTCAATCATTGTAAGGAATGAGATAATAGGTCTTCACTTCTAACTCCTTGCTACTTTCTGTACCAGAAAAAATGTGAAGCTGCATATTTTGTTGTGGTTTTACATCATCTAAGATCTATAGTGATTGCTGTACGAGGAACTGAGACCCCTGAAGACCTCATAATTGATGGTTTAGGCCGGGAAAGTCCCCTGTCCGTGATGGATTTGGATGGACTGATAAAGTTAGTCTCTCTTTCTCTTTCTCTCTCTCTACCTCCTCTTCCTTTGTGTGTGCATATGTTGGTGCATGTGCATTGCAGCATATGCATGTGCCAAATTTACATACTCAGATTTCCACAAATGCTTATGCATATGGTTGCTGCTCTCATGACTATCTGCCATCCAGTTTAATCATTCTGATCTGTTTCTGGAATGTGGTGACCTGCTGAATTAGTATCTTTGCTACTCTAAACAGTAGCCAGTACCTAGTGGCATCTGTTCTCATGGCATCTGCTAACTGAATTATTTGTTTAGCATACCCTCAAATTTCCAGAAAGTTTGAACAAACACACATCAGTTAAATTAATTTAAACATGTTATTACTTAAAACTGTGTTTGTGCAATTTGTGCTTATCATGAAAGCTGAATGCCAAGTCATAAACTGGAATTATACATACTTTCTATCCAAAGAATTTGAAGTGGTCTGTAATACTATTCTAATAGGATAGTGCCCAAATAACCCTCTTCCCTATTTTCTTTTGTGATGCTTATTATTGAATTGCAAGTTGTGAACTTTTCTTATCTTTGTCCTCTGTTCTTTCTCTTGTTTTCCATGTTTTTAGTTGTTTTTAGCTTGCTCTACTAACTTCTCACATTAGGGAGAGATTGAGGGAAGTGAGAGACAAAATGTGAATTCTGAACATGCTCCTAAATTTACACATTATAGATTTGACATGATTTGAAGAAAACCCATTGTCTTGTAAGTAGTCTTCATCATCTCTATAGCTGGTCTTTTTGCATGTTAATCTATGTTAAGTAGTTTTTTTAGCTAATTCTTTTTTTATCTTTTTCCTTTAAATACAATTCTTGTTTCAGTCTAGAAAATAAAACATATAAAGCTGCATAGATCCATTGGCAGTCAGTTTTACAGTTACTCTATAATATAGAATATTCATGTACTATGAGATTCTTTAGGGTGATTTCTTCAACATTTATTGATGTTAAGCAATAAAATGAAAATTCTGATGTAATGCAGTATGAGATGTGTATAGGCACCTTGACTTGAGAAATTTCATGACAAATTTATAATAAACCCTCTTAGAGTCATGTTTCATCTATTTAACAAAACTTTAATGGTAATATACATTGCACAGCACCTTGTGCTGTTAACTGTGGCTCCTATTGAAGCTGTTGACTGTTTTCATATCTTATCAACATAATGTTGCACCAATGTACAAACTCAGTTTATTGAAATGTACAGGTGTGCATAATCGAAATCATTTATCTTATGGTTTTCAAAATGATATTAGAACTTCTGTATTTATATTTTTTGTCAATGGAATACTGTAGTTGAAATATGTGCTGTATGTGAACTAAATGATATTTGTGAATTTTTTTGGTACAAGAGGAGATTCCTTTGACTTGAACCTAGTAAGTACCTTATCTAGAAAGTCATGTTGCCTTGCACTTGAGCTCGGTTTAAGTAATATAATCAAGCTCAGCTCGTTAAATTTCAATAAACTTGTTTGGCTAAAGTTTGGTTAAATGAGCACAGTTCAAGATCGTGAAAGAGAATCAAAATATCTGTTCCCTATGTTTCAAATCAACATCCAAAATTAATTGATGATGAGATGATAATATTGATTATGATGATAAATGCCTTTAATGAACAAAGAAGTTGCAAAAGTAGGAACCAAGTTATCGAAGGTGTAGAACTGGCATATCATATAGCTCAGTGCAACTTAACCAAATAAATTTTAGGATCCTAGGATTCTAGTTTGGAGGAGGAGAGAGGTGTGTGAGTAACTGTCCGGTGAAAACAGAACAGAATGGAAACAGTGGTGTGGACTAGGGGTTTAAATGATTAAGGGAGGGGAGATGGGAGCTGCAACTGCAGCACTAGATGGGTTGACAAGAGTGAGAATTAGGAAAAACCAACCCAAGTATTAGGATATTACATTTCCTTAGAAAATAAACAAGTAAAGAATGAGAATTATAAAACTATAATGACCCAAGCTGACAAATTTTTTAACTTGACTTGTTTATTAAGTGTTGTTTTTAAAACTGTTCAAACTTGTTAATTTAACTTAATAGCAAATAAACCAGGCTTGTTCGTTAGCTGTTCAATGAAATTATTGGTTCATTTACAACCCCAATGATGATATCCACCAAATGGAATTTTATCATTTTAAGTGCGATCTAAGATATGAAATTTTACAGGATCAATGCGCTTCCTACTGAAATTCTTTTCTCTAGGATTGCCTCATTCTTTCTTCTGGCTTTGCCAAACATCATAACTCTTTTTCCCTCCAAATTAACTAATAGCCTCACCATTGGTATTAAAATATAAGTATTTATGCTATTCTATTTTGTTTTGTTTACTGGTGTCTCTAACCAATGTCACATGTTTTCCTCTTTGCAGTAGCAGTTATATTGACCCTTCTGTCAAGCAACGTGTAGAATCATCTTTCCCACACTATGGGCATTCAGGTATAGTAGAAGCTGCCCGGGATCTTTACACACAGATTGAAGGATTCTCTGGAGGTGGTAAGGAGATTGCTATTTTTGTTCTTGTTATTAGCACAACTGCTTTTAGTGTTATTGCTACTATTACCATTTTGAGGTATATTTTGACAAGCGATGTAAAGGAGTCAATTCAGAATTCTCACACCAAATTTATTGATTTGGTTGAGCAGCTGGTGCTCCAAAATTTCTCCGGATTTTAACAAGTACTTTGGAGGTCCCAAAATTTCAGCACCATTTCCATCTTTCCGGCTGTCTAAAACTATTGTCCTTACAGAGTCTTCATTGCCCCTGCCTTCACTAAGCAGTACCAACATTACCATCTCACCTAAAAAAATCATCACTAACAGAAGAAACTCACTGCTTCCAACTCTGTAGAGTGATGTCCTCCAATGACCAGTTTATGCTACCGCATTCTTATCTGTTACACTGCACCCTATATACACACAGCCACAATTTTCCCTTCTGTTGTAGGTTGACCATCTGTTGCAATATTTTTAGAAGGGTTAAAAAGAGCAAAGCCTAAAGACTACAAAATTGAATCTATTTTTGGTTTTAATTTATGCATAAACATCTGTATGGTCCTGTTAAGTTACATTTCATTTTCCTTTGATTTTGTGAGCGAAGATCACTGTTTTACTGTCGTGATTTGCTGAAGGCAGTCTACGGAAGTAGTCCATGCATTTTATTTTTCATGTTGGTATTGCATAATTAGATTGAGACATGAGCTTTTATTGCCAAGAAACAGTTCATTTATAACATTTCAAATATAATGTGCTTTTAAAGAGGTTTTAATGTTAATCTTTCTAATGAGGGGACAGGGGACTGACAGGACAATTGCTTAAGCCAAATGCTCAAAAAAAAAAAAAAAAAAGAAATGGTGTAAGAACACGAGAGAAACAAATGAAAAGAAGATACTGCATGTATAAGCTGTAATTTTGCTAAATCAATTCTAAACTACAGTGTATTATGCCTTAGCTTTCATATCTGATCTCTGTGGAATGCAAATGGTGATGCAGAATGTCGGTCAGGTGGCTTCCTTTCCTCATTGCTGGGAACTGGATGTGAATGTGAAGGTTATAGCATACGAATAGTTGGGCATTCCTTAGGAGGTGCAATTGCTGCATTGCTAGGAATAAGAGTACGCTTTCCCTTGCTCCACTGATGTGATATTCTGCAATTTGTTTATATGCCATGCTGAATGATTGAATTAGACATAAGCCCATAAAAACAAGGTTTAGATAAACATCTATTTTGTGCCCACTGAATATGGCCATAATATCCCCCTCTCACTCTTTTTGCATCTTCTCTTCAAAGTGCAGATTGTTAAGTGACTTGCATGTCAGTAGAGATCAAGATGAATCCATATTTATTAACCATGGGAAAGTAGAAAGGAGGGTAAATTTCACTTAATATGACCTGACTGGTTTCTAAAAGAATCTCTCTACTTGAATTTGAGGATACTTGCTAAAATTTGAAAGGACTTGGTTGAATAGCATGTAAATTTTAGGTTATTTGGGCCCTAACTTATGAGATTGGATCACTTTACGTGATTTAAAAGGCATCTACATTTATGTTTCCATGTGTTCTAGTCTTCTAGATCATCCTCCACAGAGTTTTGTATTATCTGTGTCTTAAAGGTATATTTCATCTTCAAACTGTTTCATTTCTTCTGAAGATATGATGCATTGCTTTCTCTTTGGAAATGTTTGTACAGAGATATGTACCATAATGTTCTTTTGTATCTTCATCCTCCTACCCTCTAAAAGATCGATATGAATTGATAGATTTGCTAGTGTATAAAATTTGAGGGAGTGAGGGTCAAACTGCTCCCACCCCAGTGAATCCATCATCTAGCAGTACCATAATAAATACGAGGAGAAAAGAGAAGGAAAAGACAAAAAGAAATTAATAATCATTTCTTTAACTGGAAAAGCTTGTTTCACTTACTATTTTATGCTCAAGTTTTTGTCCTTTGCTTTCCATGTGCAGCTATATCAGCAATTCCCAAATTTACATGTTTATTCCTATGGACCTCTTCCATGCGTTGATTCAGTTGTGGCAGATGCATGTTCAGATTTTGTAACAAGGTAATTCTGAATGCAATCATGCTGCTAAATATTTAAAGGCAAGATAACCTGTTTTATCCAGAAATTTATTGTTTTTTTCATTGTAAGTGTTTGAGCTTTCTGCAGCATTATACACAACAATGAATTTTCTACCCGCCTTTCAGTTGGATCGATCCTACGGCTTCGTGCAGCTGCAATAACAGCACTATCAGAAAATACCAAAACTGATATGGCCTTGATTTTCAGACTTGCACGGCAATTTCTTTATGCAAGCAATTCTCATAGAACTAAGATTGAGGCAAAGGATACAGCCAAATATTCTTCTGGAACAAGCACAGGTGAAGTATTGAAATGATAGTAAAGATAACTTTGTGATTATTCAAATAAATGACATGAGATAGAAAAAATGCAAAATTGCTAATTTGCCATCATGGTAGAGGGCAATCTTTTGCTGCCACCTATCCATGGAAGTTGAACCTATTTGTATGTAAAGTTTGATGCTTAAACTATGGGGGGGGGGGGGGGGGCATAAGTTTTACTAAAGGATTGACTACTTCTGCAGAGATCAAGGATCAAGGTCAGGAGTTTTCCCTCTGTCATGAGACTGACAGGAGACAAAATCTTGTTGACATTGCCGATGACGATTTCATCAATCCTTTTGCTGCTGATCTAAACCAATCAGATGATCCAATATCTCAGTTTATGGAAACTGCCTCCAGATCTGAAAATGGGTCATCCAGTGGTCCTGTTGAGATGTTTCTACCAGGCCTTCTAATTCATATAGTACCTCAACAACAAAACTTAAATAACTTACTGTGGAATAGCTGGAGAGTCCAAGAGAACATGAGGAAGTATAAAGCTTTCTTAGTAAACCGAGAATACTTAAAAGATATTGTAGTTTCACCTAATATGTTCTTTGACCATCTACCCTGGAGGTATGACTACTGATCTCATTCATGCTTATTTGATCTTTTTTCCTTATAACATTTTGGTTGAAAGGAGCAAAAGTTATGATAATTTTGATTTTTCTTCAGATGTAACAATGCCATGAAAAAGGTCTTGGAAGCTGAAAATGTCGCAGCATTGGATGTATCTCACATTGTGTGACTCACATCTTTTTGAGGCCAACTAAGAACGTGATGATATTGGCTGTGGTGTATTCAGCTCCGTTGATTTTATTCATGCTACATCTGAAGTGTAGTTTAGTGGAAGAGGAAAACACTGACTGCCATCTGCTAATGGAGTATCCTGCAGCTCGATACTCTGTATCTGGAAAGCGTAGAAGAGTGAATATTCAGTTCCCTTTTCTTGCACAATCTGGAGTTGAGGTACTGGTTTAATTTCCAAATTCCATAGTCTGTCACCATGGCTTTGATTCAGAAGAAGCTTTAAACCCAACTGACCCCTGATTTGCTATACTCCTTTCTCTCCCCCCCCCCCCCACCCCCCACAACTACCTTAAGAAGAATGTAATTTAAATACTAATTTGGCTAAAATTTTGCCCTGTATCTAAACAAAATAGCTGATACTGCAAAAACAGTTTCTTTTATTGTCAAAGGACTCATAGGCTATCAAGTTGGTGGGATCGTGTTGTATAGTGTGAACTACATATAAAATGTATAAAAGTTACAAATTTATAGTGTAAGCACCAATTTAAGTAAAGTTCATTCTTCATCTTCATGAATTAACTTATATTCTTGGCTATAGTTGTTGATTTCTCTCTGATCACACCGAATTGTCAGACGTATCAGCTTTTTTTGAACAAAGAAAGGCAAATACTTCGAGTTTTTTACACCTTGAGATATTGCATTGCTTCCCATGGAGTAGATTTGCCAATTTGTGTATATTTGTCTTCTTTCATATCAAATATGAAAATTATCGTATCACAATTCATATATATATAAAAAAATGAGAACATATATTTTGGTTTTTGCTAAAGCTGTAAATGGTTTTTATCAAAATTTTAAATCTTTTCTCTTTAATTTTTTGTATATTGTTTTTGTGTTGTGTTAGTGTCTATCTAAAATTGTCAAAGTCTACAATTGAGCGCTTGACATCAGGTACTGTTAGTATCAAGATGTAACACTTGCACCATTTGAAGTTTAGGTTTTCTTACTACCAAGAACGCAAGAACTGGTTTCAGCGTTGAATATATGTCTTTAGGATGAAAACCAATGGTTTCATGATCAAACATTTGAACTGGGTTTCCAATTCTTGGTATGAAATATGACTTAGATACATCAATTTTTTTCTTTTTTTTAACAAAAAAAGTCGTAACTTGAAGATTTGGTGTTTACATGAACCAATTGAGTTTCGAATTTGATACGATTAATTATTTTTAAGATATTAAAAAAAATTTGGATATTAAACCTTCCTTTCCAAAAAAAATAAAATCATTATTATTAAATATTAATTTATTATCTTGATGATAACAATAATCAAAACTAATACTCTTATACGATTATTTTTTAATAATCCTAAATAATCCTACTCTGGTTGCCTTCTAAATGCAATTTCATCGACCTAATCCTTACTATAAAAAATTATCTAATTATCAAAATTGTCTTATAATGTAATTGTTTCATGATTTTATTTTATTTTTTTTGTTATTATCTTTATATATGGTAAATTTAATTTAATTTTCAAGTTACATTAATCATTTTGTGTTTGACTATTTTTTATAAAAGAAATCATAATTTAAAAATATTTTAAAAATTATAAATATTAAAATTTAAATATCAAATTTATTAAATAACATCTAATTGGATCAAATCTATGTTACGAACAATTTAACCATAATATGGACACATTTTCGAACCGAATAGACGTAATTTCCTTTTCATGTCGCCTCATTGTTTGAAAAAGGTGTTACGATGAAACACATTGCCCATCTTTTTGTCACAGGCTTCTTCCCATTTCTAGCTATTTAGGTCAAATTACTAAAACACATTTCCATAATCAAAACGGTTGAACCAGCTTTTACAATGTGATAATTATTTCATTTATGATAAAATTTTTAACATTATTTTAATATTTTTTCAATGTACATGTAAACCCTTTAAAAAAGGAAAAAAAAACTTTTAAATATAATTATAATATCCATTATTAATTCACCATTTGTTTGGTTTTAATACTTAAGAATTACCTTTGGTAATTTTCACTATTTGAAACAATAAGCAAAAGTGGCTTAGGGTATAAAACTAAATAAAATTCTCCAAAAAGTAAAAAAAAAAAAAAAAAATATTCTTAAAATATCTCATAAATCAAACTGTTTCCTTTTAACATGGAATTTAAAATTTTTAAAAATTTTAAGTTCTATTAGTTGAATCACAAAAAATATATATATATATTGAAATATCTTTTTGTCCAATGATAATTTGATATCTACGATCCATATTTACGTAATTTACTCCAAAAAATTTATAAATTTTAAATTTTAAATCTGTAATTTTTAAAAATTGCTCCAACATGCATATCATATGAATTAATATTAAATTGATATAATTTTAATTTGATAAATCAACAGTTCACATTAAGATGTCCTCACTTACCTAAAAAAGTGGAGAGCAAACCATTCACAGTAAAATCTAACTAGGACATGACAATCCAAAATCACACTTAGTAATCAATTTTGACTTTGTAATATTGAATTGACAGTGAGAGAGAGAGAGAGCAATAATCTGTTTTTTTTTTCTTTCTTGCAAAAGCCTAAAATCTGCAATAGATTTTGTAGTGAAACAAAGTGACAAGAAAACAACAAAAATTTCGTCTCACCCCATGAGTATCACGATCCACAAAAATTTGAGGTAGCCGAAGGACAAGCCTTCACATCAAAGGGACCATTTTTTTTTTCTTCGACGCTGCTATCATGTTGTCACCTGATTTTAATTGCAGAAGCCACCACGAAATACATCAAAATAGTTACCTTAATTTTTGTCAATTTGGCATTGTTTCTAGTTTATCCTATTAAAAAAAAAGGTGATTTTTAATTTAAGTGAAAATTATAATTATAATAAACCTAATGTAATTATTATTATTTTCCGTAAAAATAACCAATAAACTAATTCGGAAATAATTAAAAATATAATTACTTTATATTAAAATTATAATTATTTGTTAAGCTTGCGACTGAAATTTAAAATTTTCACTATAAATGATTAAATGAGATAAATTATTTTTTTAATTTTTCCTATCTTGAACTTTAAATTACTGTGGAAGAGACAATGAAAGACTTGGGAAGGCTCACCGCCCAATTTCTGAAAACCAACCTATCAAAACAAAAGTACTAAATAAGACACTTGCTTTATTGTTTGTCAGCATTTCCATGGTGTTGGGCTGTTTGTCAGCGTTTCCATGGTGTTGGGCTGTTGGGCGGTTTCTCTAAAATTTTCAGACATTCAGATATCTCTTGTCGTGTCAGAAAGCTAAATTTAACATGGACATGACGTAACAAATTTTAGAAAGCCGAAATATTGTTTTGCCAATTTCATGTTCCACGCTAAATACCCAGCCACTTTTCTAACAAACAAAAGGTAATGAAATAAAAACAGCTAATTAGTTTGAAATGCCCATGTGGGTTCAAACTGAATGTGTAAAATTTAAATTTAATTGGATAAAAAAATTATAAGTGTCAAAATTTAATTTTCAAATTTATTAAATGCATATTATTTTTTAAAAATAATTATATAAATTAATCTAATAAAATTGTAATTTATAATTTTAATGTCTTAAATCATAATTTTGTTTTTTTCAAATATCATGTATGCAAAATATAAATTATGAGTGTTCGATTTAATGATTGATGATGTAAATAAAAATATTTAAAGAATTGAATCTCTTGTCTCCTAATAAAAATTTTCTAAAACATAGATAATTAATTTTTATGTTAGGAATTTCATATTAGGAAGTTTGAATCAATGCATGATTACATTGGACAGTCACCTTCCCTTGCTCAAACTTAAGAAAAAAAATGAGCATTAATTAATAAATAATATGACAAATTAATTAGGAGTATAAAAAAAACTACTTAAGACCATTCTTATTTTTTCTTTTTGGTCACTAAGACCATTCTAATTTTGCAAACTTGCCAATTGCCATAAAAATAAGACCAAAAAGAGTAGAAACCAAGAATTCATAAAAGAAACCATCAACAGAATAACAGATATATCATTTTATTAATATGAAAGACATATATGACCAATTATCCAAAAAGTCCAATTCAAAATAACTATTTATTCAAAAAGTCTAAATTAATGAAAAAACCCAATTTGGGTATTTGAAAATTCTATTATATCACATAATTTCCTTAATTATTTTATTCTTTTGGAGATATCCCATAGAAAAGTAGTAGTTGATGTCAATCGTTACTAAGGTTTCATTGCGATTGAAAAAAAAATTAATGTAACTACGAATAAAAAAAAAATTAATGAGAAATTTATGTTAATTTGATTTCATTAAAGTTGACATTTGAATTTAACTGAAAGTACTATGAACTTAATCACCGATGCGATGGAGTCCAACCAGGGACTAAAGTTGTTACATAGAAGAATATTGTTGTTGCAATATTTTTAACCTTAATCTCCACTAAAAAGAGGACCACATTGGAGGAAATTTTCTTTGATCATCTTGCCTTCAACAAGTTCATTGTATGGATTTTTCTGTTCAAACTCTACTAACTCTAAAAATGACAACTATTTCATGGCGGCAATGTGAATCTCCCTAACTTGATAGAGAAAGGAAAAAAGGAACAATTGAAAGATCAACCCACAGTCAAGTAAACAAAATCCCAAATATCTTATCTAAAAAAAATGGGATTTCAATGGTTTTGCCCCCATTAGAGATAATGTAATGGTAAAGAGTAGGAAAGTGTGCCTTCTAGGAAAAAGCCTAAAAATACTTTAGTAACAAAGTTACGAGTTTTTTTGAATAATAAAAGGTGACCTTGCATGAAGTAAAGGCCAAATACAATGGAGAATGAGACTATTTTTTTGTTGATAGGAGAAAATGGGGAGAACTCAATTCAAACCAGGATTGAAAAAAGACTATAGAAACGTATTAGACTAGACAAATTTTTTTTTCTTTTGCATGCTCGTCAACAGCCTTTTTGTTTCTTTATTTGCAGCCAATAAAATTTAAATTTACTTTTTAACGATTAGGGCTTGACAATCTTGAATGTAGAAGGCAGCCATTTGTATATATGTTTATCAGCAGCATTGCCTCATTTCCATGCAAATTCATAAAATTATCTTTGCTTTTCTGCCCTAAGACATTGCTAAATCATGAATGTAATATACTCTTGTTACTTTCGGTTCTTGATTGGGACATTACTTTCAGTGTGTGGTTTATGGGAACCATTCATGTCAATTATTTGATAGAAAAAAAAAAAAAAAAAGCAAAAAAGCTTTAATTAAAGTTTAGCTCAACTTTCTATCAGACAGAAAGTTTAGTTCAATAAAGTTTTTAAATTTTGTGGACAAAAATAAAAGATAATCATGTATTATTCCTTTTTATAATTTTAATTTTTTAAAATATATTATAAAAATGCGTATTAAACTTTTAATCCCGTTGATAGAGTTTAAAAATTTTACCGTCATGAATTGCACGATAATTCATATATATTCATCTTTGTCACTAATTTGTATATATCTTTTCAGTTCAATTTGTAATGAAACATTTAGTTAAAGATATGGAAGCATTTAGTTAATTTGAGTTGTAGAAGAAGTAGTTTTTTTTTTTTCCTCATTTCCTCAAATACTT